GCGCTTTTCTTTTCCCGAAACAAATGCCCATCCCCAGATGATTCCCTCGTCCTGACGTCCTATTTTTTTAAAAAAACCCGCTGGTCTCTGCCAAGCTTGAACCCGCCTTCTCGCCCCCCCCCCGCAGGTCACGCTCTACGAGATGGAGAACTTCCAAGGCCGGAAGTGCGAGCTGACCGAAGAGAGCCCCAACCTCACCGAGAAGGACCTGGAGAAAGTGGGCTCCGTCCGGGTGGAAGCCGGCCCGTGAGTGACCTTCCCCATTCCGCGTGCCCGTCTGCCTGCCTGCCTGCCTGCCTGCGCGCGCCCTCGTGTGAGAAAGAGAGAGCGAGAGCGAGAACGCTCCTGAAGGCGAGAGGCGGGCTGGCCTCCCCCCCGCCCTTAATCTGAGAGCCCCCAAGATTTTCCAAAACAGTTTTTAATCACCAGGAGACTTTGCGCTGGAGGCACAGCATGAGGGCCGCCTTCCTCTTCGGGCCAAGCAAAGGCCCTGGCCTGCTCTTTCTTTCTTTTTGGGGGTCACCGTGCTCTGCCCCGGGGGGGGGGAGGCCTGTGGGTCACGTTATAACGGAGGCAGGCGAGGTTCTGGGGCTGCTGAGCGGATGGGACCCTCTCGGGCGGTCTGTTTGGGCAGGGACGCCAGGCAAGGCGCTGGCCGGGCTCGGCCTGTTGGGAACGACTCCGGGGAGAGGCCTTCATGGCCAGGCCGTTCTAAAAGGGGGAGCCCCTCCCAATTACTCCACACGGGGTCCCCATGAACACTCACAGGCCCTCTCTGTTGGACCCGCAGAGAGTGGGGGCAAGGGAAACTTGCCTGATTATGAAAGAGACCCTCAGGGTGGCTTAAAAAATGCCAATGAAAGGAAAGTGAGAAGCAGGAAAGACCTGGGTTGACTGCAGTTCTTGAACCCTTCAGACCGGCTGGGGGATCTTTGGAACAGCCCTCCACCTCCCGGCTCTGCTCCATGTTGCCCAGTGGAACCCACTGACTCTCCATCCCTTCCTCTCTCTCTCTCTCTCTCTCTCTCTCTCTCGCTCCCCCCCAAACCTGATCACAGCTGGCTGGGGTTTGAGCGCCAGGCCTTCAGTGGGGAGCAGTTTGTGTTGGAGAAGGGGGACTACCCTCGCTGGGATTCCTGGTCCAACAGCCACAGCAGTGACAGCCTCCTCTCCATCCGTCCCCTCCTGATTGTGAGTAATACAGCAGCCCCCCCCCCCACACACACACCAAGAAGAAGCCCCATGGTGGTCAGCTTGCGCCATGTCTGTAGCTCTGTCGCCTGTGCCCGGGGCTCGGGTTGAGGTGCAAGTGCAAGTGGGGATCGGGGTGAACAGCAAGCACATGTGGGAAGGTTTCTATGCATGTGTGGACAAAGAGCAAGTCCCGGGTTGCTCTCTAAAGGAGAGGGGCAAAACTGGAACCCTCTAAAACCTGGCAGTGGGAGAGGTGTGGGGTGATTTTGGGATGCAGAGAGACTCCAAACGCTTGAGGGTGGCCTCGAACGGTCCCTCTTTGCAGGGTAGGCTGTTTCTTGAACATCCTTCTCGTCCTGTGAGAAATCGCTGCTTCCTGCGAGAACCAGAGGAGGCCTTTTCTGCTTCTGGGCCTCTTGGCTCACCAAAAAAACTGAACCAAAGCAAAGCTTAAGTGGGTGGAGTGGAAGAGAGACAGAAAGGGATCGTGAGGAGGGGTGTGTGTGAATGGAATACCATAGGTGTACACATACACACACACACTGCATTGACCGGGTAAAAAACAGTCCCTCAAAGGTGAAAGCAATCTAACCGCTGGGAGGTTTGTTTTTCTGTTTGTTTGTTTTTAAAGCCTGCAACAAGTAGCTAATCTCAAGGCCATGGCTTACAACCACCAGCTGAGGATGCAGCAGAAATGTGTCTGCTGAAGGTCTCGCTCTGTGTCTGGACACTAAAAAAGAAAGAAAACAGCCAACAACAGAAATGCAACTCGGGGGGGGGAGAGTAAAATGTCCTCTCCTGCTGCAGAGAGATCAAGTTTCCATGCAGGGTTAGACCCTGATCCCATCCTGCTCCATGCCCTGTTTCCAGCCACCCTGTGCAAGACATGGTCCGGGCAAGAGACATCCCCACCCCTTGCCATGGCTCCCCAGCACGTGACCTCCATGGCAAGCAGTCCCCATAAGCGAAGCCAAGCCTTGACCCCCTGCACCTGCTTGCCCTCCTGGATCAGGGCGTCTCAGCCTCCAAAATGGTTTGGGTGTCAGGAATCCTAAAAGCTGAAGGCCAAAACCTGTTGGGGGGGGCAAGGAAAGGCAACCCAGCTCTGGTCTGCAAAAGCTGGAACAGGATCACACCATTCTGTGCCTCTCCTCCGTCCTGAGGTCTGCCCTTGGCCAGAGGCTCAGCTTGGCCTGGGGCGCTGCCTTTTCCCTCCCCCTTTGCCAGTGCAGGGGTTAAAACACCCTGCGGCATCACCCCGTTTATCTTGCTTTGTCCTCTTAACACCGACGGACTGTTTGTCTGCCTAATCCCGGATTGTCCACTGGATGGGCAGCATCTTTCCCATCATCTTCTTTTTCTTCTTCTGCTGCTGCTTCCCTTTCCTTTGAAAAATGAGCCCTCGAGCCTCCAGCAAGCAAAACAGTTCACAAAGAAAAGGTCCATGGACAGATGCAGCCAAGAACGCCTCCTTCCATTTTGTGCGAGTGCCTTGAACACAATGAAAGCTGCAAAGCTTGGAAACCTGGTTTTCATGGAGTGAAATCCCAGAATTCCACAGCCTGTTTCTGAGAGCTGTGATTTAAAGGAAGGAAGGAAGGAAGGAAGGAAGGAAGGAAGGAAGGAAGAGGGCAGATTTACACTACCTCCAGTGGCCTTTAAAACTGACTCATATATTTCACTGTGACCTTTCATGGATTAATCCACTTCTTCAGATACATGCAGCACAATATGTGAACCACTGGTTTATGTAGAGGGTACATGATGTGAGACAGGAATGGGACAAAGTGTCGGGATTGGAGTGGTGGAATTACATTTAAGGTGTTAGTAACACCAATATCCTGGCAAACCTGGCAATTTGAAGATATGAATGAGAAGAGGTTTCGAGACTTGAAATGACAGGACAGGACAGGACAGGACAGGACTTGAAGATCAGATCATACCCTTTCTCCAGCTTAGCCCAGCATGGGAAGGAGCATCAAGGTTTGCCTCTCCATGGAGGGTCTTCCCCATCACTCTTCCTCAAGAGCCATTAAGCTGGAGAGGCCCAGGAGCTGAACCCGAGGCTTCCTGCATGTGTCTATTGCGGTCCCTGGGGTGGGTGGGTGTTCTTTGAGGGACTGAGCCCCCCACTCACCTGCTAACCCCACTCCTTCCCTCCACCAGGACAGTCCGGACCACAAGATCCACCTGTTTGAAAACATCAACTACGGCGGGAGGAAGATGGAGATTGTGGAGGACGACGTACCCAGCCTGTGGGCTCACGGCTTCCAAGACCGCGTGGCCAGCGTCAAGGCCCTGAATGGAATGTAAGGGGGGAGAAAAGGGGTGGGTGGAAGGAAGCAAAATTTTACGCACAGGTACCGGGTGGTGGGAGGGAGGGAAGGAGGGAGGGAGGGGGAGAGAGAGAGCAGAGGTTTCAGAAAGGATGGACTCCAGTGTTTCTCCCCCGTTGCTGTTTCTCTCTCTGGGTCAAGGGAAACAAGGAAGGACATCATCTTAGAATAGCAGGACTGGAAGGGACCCTTGGGCTCATGAAGTCCAGCCCCTGCCAAGGAGGCCCAACGGAGAATCAAACCCCCGACCTCTGGCACGTTAATAAATGCCTATTATCAGCATTCTTTCTCCAGCCACTCTCTGTCCTTCCTAGCCGAGCAATCAGGTTTGCAGATAAAGTCATGTTTTCCTTTCAATGGCCAGTCACGAGATTAAGCTCTCTAGGATGCCCGGTGAGGAAAGGGGTGTGATTTCACAATCATCTCCCTTTTGCCACTTCAGGAAGTAAGAGTTTTAATCTCTCCTCTTTCACACATGCACACAAACATATTTTAAAGGCACACTTTGAAAACTGCCTTGAAGAGATTCTGCCTTCAAAAGTTACATAAAAATAGGATGATGAACTCAGTAAAAATGGGCAGTGTGACATTGTTTGGGTTGTGTGTCTGTGTGTGTGTGTATAAGAGAGAGAGAGAGAAAGAGAGAGAGAGAGAGAGAGCTTGAGGCAGCTTTGCCGTAGAGCACAGTGTGATGTTGATGCAGGAAATATTTGGGGGGGGGGCAGAGGAAACGATGCAGACTTTCCCACGGGGTCAGGTCCAAAGGCTTCCATCCTGGCGGGGTGGGGAGTGAGGGTGTATTCTACACGCTGCAGTTCATACCTTCTCTGGGCATTTGATGTGTTTTCCTTATCCTCCTTCTTGCAGACCTGTTTTTTTTTTTGGTTGGGGGGGCTGCTTTTAACCATCCTTTCTGGCATTTGATCAATTTTTGGTGGTCGTTCGCACCAAGAGCGAGATTACAGGGCACCCCGTGGCCCCTGACTCCAGCAGCCCCTGGGATGGCCTTCTCAGGGGCCAAGACCCCCCCCCGGGGCCTGGCGCTGGGGTCTGTGGCCCCCTCCCTCACCTCGCTTTCTCCCCCTCTGTAGATGGGTGGGGTACGAATACCCCGGGTACCGTGGCCGGCAGTATGTTTTTGAGAAAGGCGAATACCGCCACTGGAACGAGTGGGACGCCAGCCAGCCCTTCATCCAGTCCTTGCGGCGCGTCCGGGACCAGCAGTGGCACAAACGGGGCTGCTTCGAGGAGAGCTAGAGATGTCGTGCTGACCCAAGAGTTAGAAGAACCTGAACCGGGGGGGCTCCTGCCAGGAGGAAGCATCGGTGGTGACGGCCCCCCAGCTGTTCTCTGTAGAAGATGATCTGACGCTCTCAATAAAAGTCTGAGAGGCTGAATTTTCTGTGGTCCCGTCTGCTCTTTCACCCCCTGACATACACACACACCCGTTCCCCAGCTTCCAGTGGCAAATACAAAGTGTGTGTGGGGGGGAGCATTGCCATGATAGACCTCAGCTTTGCATACTCAGGGGCTCAACACTAAAAAGCCACTTTCTGGGCTCCTTTGGGCAGGGTGTGGGAGTAAAGACTGAGCAACTGCCCCCCCCTTTTCTTTACACTACAAAGATTGCTAGGATCTCCCTGGAGTTGTATCCCCCAAAAAAGTAACTTTCTCAAGCAGTGGGGCCAGGGAAGAAAACCAGGCTCCGCCACCCTGTGACCTCCATAAAAAGGATCCTGGCGGTGTCTCAGGCGGGCAGGCGGGGGGGGGGGCTCAGCGCTCCCAATGAGTTCGTCCAGCCCAGGCATTTTGGAGGCTTTCTGGAAAACAGAAGAAAACTATGTGTTGGCGAATCTGGTGGTCTTGCTGGCCGTAAAGGGGAATCCCACCCTCCCCCCAATGCAAGGTCATTTCCCTTCAAGGCCAACTCCAGCCTCTGCGATTCACCTTCCACCTGGAGTCCACCAAGATCTCTGGGTAGAATGAAGGATAACGCCTGACCCAAACACAAACACAGGAAACCCCTCAGAAGCAGCCCCAAGTAGAGGCAACAGGGGTGGTGGGGTTGGTGGAGAAGGAGCCGCAGAGCGAGAAACCCAAGACGCCTCTTGAAAAATCAAACAGGCTCAAGTGCCTTCTTCCTCAGCATCAAAAAGCCCACTGGGTGGGAGGTGGCGGAATGGAGATACTGGCCCACACTCTGCCCGAGGCAGGACAGCGGCAGGACCCCCCCAATCTGTCCCAGCCGGCAGAGCCCATGGGAGCAGCTTGTGAGGGGGGCCCGTTGCGCCCGTGCTGCCTAAAATTGGGGGTGGAGGGTGGAGAGAAGCAACCCACTTTCAGGCCACGCGGCCACAAAGCCAAGCAGGGCATGTGAGGTGACGGGCTGCCCCTGTGGATAGGGGCCTGGAAAGAGCCAGGCAGCCAGGGCACAGCCCACCCTCCACACAGCACCTGTCTGATCCTTGTCAGCCTCCTATATCTTTGCCCTGTCCTTCCCAAGCAGGTCTCCCCA